GATTTTGGGCGCCAAAATTCAAGTTTCGCTCTTGACAGCCAATGGTTGGTCCCTATGGATTTTTATGCTCTCTATTAAATGATAAATTTCATCGAGTTTGGTAAAGAAATGGATTTTTGGGGTCGATGAGAAGTCAAATCGACGAGTAATATGGGACAGAGGAAGTAGTTAGTATCATGTGTTATCCCAACGTCATCCAACATTAATATCAGGTCATATCCTAATTAGTAGAGATGAGAGTAGATTAGGATATTCCTAGGTCATGCATACAGGTCTCGTCCGAGAGCGGCACGGCCTACCTGCCGCTGCCCGACAAGAAGAAAAGATAGATCATTCGGTGAAGTGAGAAGCTTAGATCCGCGCTCTCGTACGGCCGTGGTTGCGCAGACGGCCTCCCGGGCGCTCGGGGCCAAATGAAGGCTTGGTCACTACTTCAGGTTTCATTCCACAACTTCATCCAATTTCATCCCAATGTCATCCACATTTTGATTCAACAATTATATTATATTAACCATAGTATCCAAGGTTGGTATTAATATTAAAAGCTGTCCCGTAAATCTTAAGTATTATTAATAATACAACCTCTATAACAAGTACCCCGGAGTATGGTAGGTACTACGTAGTACGTACGTTGTTTTTTATCGGAAAATCGACGGCAGAGCGCTTCTAAAAGATGCTGTGATTGTTGCGAAGTTACGGCGGTTGTGATTTATACTGTACAAGTTTGAATCGAGTCACGTTAGGATCGTGAAGGCATACGGGGTCGTTAGGTTTAGGTTTTGATATCGCTATTAATCGACGAACTGATATCCCTTCGTAGTGTAGTACTATTAATACCTCCAGATAGGTTTACTCCTGCCATTTCAAAAATGTTCCAAAACAAAGACCTCACAAATAGAATACATAATTACCCGTTGCCATACTAATTGTAAGATAATATAATAACAGTAGTATATTTTATATTAATATTGCTTGTTGACTGCTGAAGCTAATATAGAATTTGTAGTTTTACTGTTAGTCAAATCTACATTCAGTACACCTAGTCCTCGATGGGAAGGAGATTCCAATGCACTGAAGATGTCGCTCATCTCCAAATATTCTGTCGTCTGGGCCGCTAGGTCACACATCACTTGGTCAAGGTCGTGCTGGGACAGCATCGAAGAACCAGCATCTCGCGGCCACAGGTAACAACCTCGTCGCGTGGAAACATTTCTCATCGATGTGGACGTAGTCGTACACAGGCCTCGGAAACCCATAAGGGTAGGGAAAATCATTTCCCCTTTTATCCCTATATTCATGGACCATTTTAACGGATGCATTAGTATTACTATAGTAGTACTAGTAAAAAGTGATGTTGTCTCAGGGACTCGAACCCGCACCTTTGACTCGGCAGTCTGACACACTAACAACGCCACACGGCCACGGGAAAATAGCTCAGTGGTAGAGCATCGGTTTCTTAAAGGAAGCGTTGAGCAAAGTAAAAACCGAAGATTACACACCGGCCCTGGTCGAGCAGGCGCGTTACAATTGGCGAAGCGGTTCCATAACATGTAGTTCTAGTATCGGCCCTCGCGGAGAAATGTCTTCATAATGATAATCCAAAACTCCCCCCTCATAAAAACCACCCCATGTGTTTTCCAAAAAACCTGACCCTAAACTACTTTTTTGTAATAAGTCTTGTGGTAATGGCATGGCCCATTTTAAAGGAACATTAAGGGAAATGATTACGTACATAGCATCGTTTTAGGCTTTACCTTGGGGTGTAAAAGGCTGTGATTTGGGAGTAAAAGGACGATACGACGACAGAATATTTCCCTAACTGTAAATATAACATAAGCATCCAGAGTTGCGCATGCTGTACAGTCTACTGTACTCGGACCAAATCCGTACAGTTGTGCCATTAAGAAGGAAGTGTCATATATGGTGAAGGTATCTTTATATGAGTATCGAGCAAGTTTGCGTCAATACATTGCTTTGGGGTAACGCCCATTTCGGTTATACAGTACCTCAAACGAACCATAACGTTAGGCTCGGTGGCAATCAATGCAACCTCAAATAGCAATGTAGCTTTCGTTGAGCGCCAATACCTATTTGGTTAGTTGTGGCATAGCCAAGAGTTTGCTTTACCCCAAAGTAATGATCTGTATTGCATTTGGGGTAAAACGAACTCCTGGGTGTCCCACAAACGGACAAGTTGGCTGCAGTAACTAGCCATGCTGCAATGCACCTCCAGTACGGTGCAGTCACCCAGTGACGAGGATGCCTCCAGCTTTGCCCATTCCATATTGAGTTCGGAACATCGCCGACGGCAACGCGGGGACGTTTCCGTCATCTTGGCCACATCGAATATTTATTGCTTGTTCTCTGCTGCCAAAATGATCCTTACAGACCATTGTATCCTGTAGAGGTCTTGCTTTTTCGGCTTGTAACCAGCGTTTTTTGGGATGCGCAGGTTGTTCAACACGCTAAATTTGCATATGCGACCTTCAAGCCACTATAAGGGAAAATAGGGTTCTTTAGTAGGGGGTTGTTGTCATGTAGAGAAATATAGTAGGGCGGCTTATGTGAATATTTCCATAATTATGATTTCACTTAGATCGTCTTACCTAGTGCTCAAATCATTCTGGTTTTACGGTTATTTTCAGATGTATCCGTACGCTTTAGTCTTGACTGTGAGTGTTGAAATTTCCATTTTGCTTTTTGAAATGTTATTATCAACTCGTTCTTTTATGTGTATTCAAGCCAATTGGATTCGTTGATTTCAGATGTATATTCAGATTCTTCTATTTTGCAATATTTTTGAAAGTATTCAGACAGGTTTATAACTCCATGAGGGGAAAAGTTGGAGGTGCAGTACTGTAGTATTTATTTATTAATACATGTTAATTACTACTACTAGTAGTACTACAGTAGTATCTACCATATGCGACCACGGCTGTATCGGTACGATTGGATTGTCAACAAAGTAATCCGAATAATCGACATAACAAAAGTATCGACCATGTTGTTGTTAATGCATGCTGATAACACTGCTGAGCCTAACAGTACGATGGAGTCAATTCCTGTTAGCTCCGATCACGTCGATACCTGTGAGGCCGACCAAGCCGCAGTTTGCATTGACCTCACGGAAGACGATGGGATTGCCCCGTTGCCAGCATTCCTTTGGCAGGATAAGTCCCTTCGACGAGTCCCCGAAGGGTGGGAATTTCCAGCGTACCCCATGGACGAGACAAGATGTCGTTCATGTGGTTCTGTGGCGACGTGGACAGCGATTTCCGTGTGCTCTCCCCCCCTTCTGGTTGCTTTCCACTCACGATTTTGACGATGCTGAGTCCCAGCTTCGATTGGAGGCGACCCAGAAACGCATGTTTCAACTTATGGAGGTCTTGCCGTTGGTTATGGAAGGAGTCACGACGGCGGACGACCTCACGGTGCTCGCCAGGAAGGATGTGGCTACGTTTGAAGCGCTTTACACTCGAGTATGCAGTGCTGTCGATGGCGCAGCCTTCAAATCGCCCCCATCCCCGACCTGTACGGCTGCTCCTTCAGTACGGACGTCAAGTATTACGACAACAGGAGGTACGTTCGACACATCTGCCACCCAACCAACAATGGACGACGCCGTCGAGGTTGCCCCACCACCTACCCAACCTTTTGAGCCACAACCACGTCGACTCAGCCCGTTCCTCCATCCCAATAGTCCATCAGAAATTGCCGTGTTGATGGACTCGTCTGGGGACATTGCATCAGACAAGGGCTTAGGTGCTGTTGGTGAGGCTGGTACTGAGGTTTCTGCTAAACAAGTGGAGGCAGATATCGCGACAGTGTCACAGAAAACTGTCCATGCTCACGCTATACAAGTCGAGGGGGATATTGATGATGTGTCACATGATGCCGCACCCCCTGTAGTTCCCGCCTTGGAGTCGACAGTGCCAGACTTCCCCTCTAGCTTGACCACATCGTCCCAATTGTTGGTGAACCGCCGCATATCCAACCACCCCATGTCCCTGAAACACTTCGATCTAGCCCGTGCCTAGATACTAAGCGACCACCACCTACAGAAACTGTCGTGTGGATCGAGTCACCTTTGGAGTCGGGGTTATCTACTCCCGCTGATTTGAATGCCCTCGTGTCTGACTTGACGCCTGGCGAAGCTCCTGCCAGGTCTCCCCCTGAACAAGTAGTAGAGGCATCGGATGTATTTAATGCATCGGGGGGCGCCGCTGTGTTGCCTGGAATTTTGAAGTCAACAGAGCTAGACTACTGTAACGCGCCCTCGTCATCCGACCTCGGTCACGCCATGTCCACCGCAATTCCCTGTCGAGTGATGTGGAAGCGCTGGTTTATCGCCGAGAGGAGCTCCATGCGCAGTCCCATCCGTCTCGTATCACGCCAAGACTCTGGCCTATCTGCGCTCAGCTTTCAAATCGTGCGTAATACCATGCTTTGGCTCGCGCGTTTGTATCATGATTCAACTGCTTCGATGGAAGCGTCGTACTTTGCCCTGGTGGACATGGGACCTAGTGGCCTGGATGCCGCTTACGACGCGGCCCTCCACCGGTCTGTGAGCCACTTCCACGCCCCCATCGACATATGCCATGCACATGCCACCGTCTACGCCGTTCACGACATGCTGGCGCAGGTGGCACCTACAAAGTCGTCCTCCCTGCACGGTCGTTGCAAGTCTGACGCATTTTTCAAATTCGAGTTGTTTCCGTCGCTGTCGCTGTGCCAAGTCTGGCTGCAGTGGTTTGGACGTGAGGCGGTCGACAAGGCGACATTCCATATGGCTGATGGCACGACTGGGAGGCCACTCGTGTCTCCATGGACCGATTGTATCACGCCCGACGCGCCGTGGAAGCTGTCGCCGCCATCGCGATCGAATCTCGGTTCGTGTCTAGCATCGCGGACTTGGAAACCAAGTCGGCTGGCAACTTGATGGACATTCTGAAGGCAGTGTTTGCCCCGTTTCGGGTCCGATGCCTCCAGAGACGACGAGGGTCCCACCCCTCGATCAAATCGAAAGTGGCGTCGTTGCATTTTTGCATGAACGAAACGAAAACTGACCTGAAAAAGCGACCTTTCTCGCAAGTGTTGGCAGACAACGACACGACTATGGCGTGAGCGTATGGATGGATTGACGTAAGTGTGTGTGGTGGAGGTGAATGAGTGAAGATATATTGCAGGGATTCAGTGTGAGAAGGGGCGAGTAACCAAATGTGAAGGGGCGAGTAAGGCTTAAGCAATGGAACGGACCTTTCATATACTAGTATTGTGCATTGCGTCAGAGTTGGTTAGGCATGCTTTCCATGATGTTGCCTTGTGGTAGCTGAAATAAGGACTCGTTTGATAGATAAAGTAGTCTGAGCGGAACTCCGACCTCGTATGAGCTGGTCAATGTTTATTGAACTTGACTAGAAGTACTTACTCGGTTAAGGAGGTACTAACCGGGGAATTGCGATTGGCATATCTTCCCAGTTCGCATTTGATTGGAATCACGAATAACACGTTAAGGTTGATTACTCGTGTAGATTACGAAAGCTACTACAGGAGCAACGTTGAAAACATGCATGATACGACCACGGTGGCACATCCACAAGGGTGCTATTTTTGAGGAAGGACAATCGTGCCGAGATTTTGCGTGCTGTTGGTTCCGTTCGTCTCGAACACGAACGGTTCGATAAAGTCGCGGGCAGTGCCAATGCGAGCGTACACGGCGGGTTCGTTGCCGCTTTTGCCCCAGCTGGCGACCCCGACAAGGAATTCATTGTTGAGCGCGTCCACGACGGTCAACGGTCCGCCAATGTCGTTGGGGTTGACACTGGATTCTGCACACAACCACGAGTCTTTGACGGAGCTGCCGTAGAATTTGGCACATTCGACGTTGGACAGGATGCGGGTGTTGGATTGCAGAAGATGCTTGGGTAACTGAGCCGCGGACTTGGACGCGATACCGTACCGGTAGACCCACGTGGAGGTTGGTGGGGAGTTGTTGGTCGCATCGGCGCTCCAAACAAGGGGAATCGGGGGGGCCGAGCTGGGGGTTTTCAGTTCCAACACCGCCAAATTAAACTCGTTCGAGTCGAAAGTAAAGCTCGGGTGGACCGTCACGTTGGCGACAGCAATGCGCTCGCCGTCCTTGTCTCCAACCGAGTAATGAGACCCCACCGACACCCATGTGGCCCAGGCACACGTCGCGCTGGTCAGTACGACCGTCGGTGCAATCAGCGCCCCACCACAACGCGTCTCCGACGCTGCGGAGCCCCGCAACCCCGTCACAAAGAGGTGTTGTCCGATGGGCGCTTCAGTCCAGTTCCACACAGCCGCGCTCGCCACCGCCACGAGCGTCGCCATGAGCACAGGTACAGGTTGCATGTTGTGTTGTTGTCCGCGAAAATTGAATTATGACGATGGGTCATCGGTGCAATTCTTGTGACTATGTGCTACCAAATCAGTTCAATACTTTGGATAAATATCGAAAAGGTAAAAATGAGACGCTGTTGATTGAATATCCAGTTTTCTATGGAATAAAAAACGTGCTTCAACCCTTCAACACTTCGGCCTAGTTATACGACCTAGTGACTAGCGAAAGGTACGCAGAATGGCTGGGAATGGCAATCAACCATTGACAACGTTACTGTAGTATCCGTGATGGGATTCTGCGCTATTACCACTGCAAGTGAATCAATCGCGTGTTGAGTGATCGCGAAGGTCATTCGTCAAGATGTTGACTGGGCCAATACTTCGACAATTAGACTAGGGGATTTATTGTTAAGGAGACTGAGTTGGGAATCAGTTTCAATGTTTTCTGCAATTCGAGAGGGTAAACCGACCGAATGGGTTAGGGTGCGAGCCAAAATCAATACTAGTAATTTGATTAAGTATTGAAACTTGTCGTTCTTGACGAGTTTTAACCCGAATCCAACAATTCCAAGTGGGATTAACAAGTTATTTTACGTCCGAGAAAGTAAACCATAATGGGCAACGTATGAACCTAGTGGATCCTAATACATATAACGCAAACCCCGGAATTAAAACAATACGACGTTACATGAGTACAAGCTAAACAGTAAATCTGGACGGGATAATTACTTCCCTTAACAGTAAATATTTGTCCAATTCATATTTCAAAAACTTTGGTTCAAAGCAATTCGAACAATTCGATTGTCACCTATTTCGGACTGTCTTGATCAAACTGATTTCAAAAGAAAATCTACCATTCTCAGCTATTGCCAACTTTCAGAAAAAATCCCTTGAACCTCTTAGATATTTTTTGGCGAAAAACGAGATATTTGGCAAATGTAGAATTCTCTAAATTTTGGATCCAGACAGATAATTTTTCAGTTTTTTTACGATTTCTTAGGATGGGTCTGGAAGCCTCAAAAATTGGCATAAAATGGCTGTATTCCCAAGAAGAGTTGGCAAAATCAAAATATTCCATTTTCCGAGATTTCGTGCGTCTGGATGCCAATTCCTCAATATTTTGTCAATTTCTATCTGGATCCAACATTTGGAGAATTCTATATTTTGCCAAATATTTCGTTTTTCGGCAAAAAATAAAAAAAGTGGTTGGAGGGACTTTTTTTTATGAAAGTTGGCAATAACTGATAATCGTAGATTTTCTTTCGAAATCAGTTTGTTCCAAACAGTCAAAAATAGATGACAACCAAATTCTTCGAATTCCTTTGAACCAAATTTTCGAAATATTAATTTGGTAAACATTGGATCCTTGGCCTTTTTTTACATCCAGGCTCATCCTTCCTGTTTTAATGAGGGAAACATAAATCCCTTTATGCGATGCGATTTGTTCAAGTTAATTCACTGCCATGCTTTTTCAAATATCCCAAACACTTCGCTTCCACAACCGCCATATCGCTCCCTTCCCACCCACATACACATGCGATCATGGCATGGGTATGTTTAGCTGTCGTCCGACCCGTCCGACAACATGCGGCGCTTGGGCGGCCTCGCGTCTTCTCGTTTCATGGCGAAGTACAACGCTGTAACTTTGGAGTTGATGGATGGGCGGCGTCCTCGTCGCTTGATCAAACACCGGCTTTGAAACGTTGCAAACACGTCCGACAAAATCTCCATGAGCTGGGCGTCCGTCTTGGCCTCCAAGTCGCCGACGCTAGACGTATACCGATACTCGATCGCGATGGCCACAAGCGCGTCCACGATGGTTTGGGCATGATGCAGTCGGTCTGTGGAGACTGCCGACGCTTCCCACGCACGGCGCCGGCCATATGCCATCGAACGACTGATAGGATGAAACCATCGGAGCCAGACTTGGGCCAGCGACAGCAATGGAAACGTGTCGAACGTGGGCAACCTAGTAGTACTACTAGTACTAGTACTACCATTCCCTTGCATGTGTTGTCGAACGATGGACTTGGCTAGCACGTGGTAGACTTGGTAAACTGTGGCGGTCGAGAGGTCGGACGGTGCCCGGTGGATAGCCGAGTCATACCTGGCGTCCACGTCATCGATCGAGGCAGAAATACTCTCATCGTCTTTGGGGGTACAAGGGGAAAGCGAGGCCAAATACGAGAGCCATTGCATGGTGTTGTGCACGATTTGGTAGCTGAGCGCACTCAGGCCAGCTTCTTGACAAGACATGTCACGCAAGGGGGGACCACAGGCGCCGTGGCCTACAAACCAACGTCTCCACATCTCACGGCAAGGCATTGCGGTAGATACGGCGCCTTCATCCGAACCAGCAGACAAACCCGATGCCGCCGCCATTACCATGACTGTGGGTCGATTCTTGGCATGATAGAGCGGGCTAGATCCAAGTGATTGGGAAGGTTCCGTGCGTAGTGTTCTAGTGGTTGGTGGAGTGACCGATAGATGGGGCAACGATGTGGTTAGGCTTGGAATGTCTAGCACTGCCGAGCTTGATGCACGAATGTTGCCAGAAGCAGCCAGCACGGTAGCATCGACATCCGGCACTGGTTGATGCAAAGAAGGGGACGCCGAGTCTGGCACTAGGGCTTTGACAGAAGCAGAAGTGCATGACAAATGCGGAGCAGAGCTACGAGTGTGCGCGGCCTTCGTGTATGCTGTCGTGGGTTGGCTGTGTTGTTGTTGCGAGGGTGATGGAGGAGTTTGTGGGTCGTAAGGTGGACTACATGTTGGCGGCAGAGCGGCGCTCGTTCTAGTTAGTTGATTGGAAGATGCGTCGAAATCGGCCTCGGTGGTCGTTCGAGTGTTTGAACCCATGAATGAGGTGGATGATTTGGTGGCTTCTCCATCGACAGCACTACATGCCCGAGTGTAAAGCGCTTCAAACGTGGCCACGTCCTTCCGGGCGAGAGCCGCGAGGTCGTCGCCCGTCGTGACTCGTTCCGTGATCGTAGGCAAGACCTCCATGAGTTGGGACATGCGTTGCTGGGTCGTCACCAGTCGAAGCTGGGATTCGGCATCGTCGAAGTCGTCGCTTGAAAGCAACCGGAAGGGGGAAATCACACGGAAATCGTCGTCCACGTCTCCAAGGAACCACATGAACCACATCTCGTCCATTGGATACGCTGGAAACTCCCATCCTTCGGGGACTCGGCGAACGGTTTTGTCCTGCCAAAGGAACGCTGGCAACGCGGCAGTTCCGTCGTCTTCCGTGAGGTCGATGCATGTTGCTTGGTCTGTATGGCTGCTCTCGGCATCGCTGTGATCGAAGTTGGCACGATGAGTGCAATCCGGCCGTGCGACGGCGGCTTGGACATCGGTCGACATTTTGTGGCAATTTGGAGTGGCCCAGCCAATCATATCGCTTGAATCGTAATTGTAATCACACTATTCTTTCCAGTGTAGTTTGAAGATTTGGACCCCGCCCCAATCGAATCTCGTGCTGTAATTCTAGCAGAACCTGATTGGTTACTCTGAAGTATCTTGTCTCTGATTAGCTAAAATCTTGGTTCTGTTTTCCCTATCATTTCTGCGGATTATATGTTAGCCAATGAAATGTCGCGATGAGGTTGTAGCGAACGGCAGTAGTGGGAACTTGGAAAGAAAACTCGCAATTCTGTATAGGGTGGGCCTGGATCACAACCCAACATTTGCCCACTTAATATTTCGAAAATTTCGTTGTTCAAAGTAATTCGTTGACTTTGGTTGCCATATATTCCTGACTGTCTGGAACTCAATGATTCTCAGTTATTGCCAACTTTCAGCAGTCCCTCGAACCTCTTTCTTCTTTTTGGCGAAAAACGACGGCAAAATATTGACAGCGTGAATTCTCCAAAGTTTGGATCCAGAGATTTTTCATAGTCTGAATTCAAAGATTTTGGCCTTTTTGTTACATTCATACTAACCCTTATTTTGATGTCCTGTATGTATGAAGTATATCTGATTGGTCAATCGAAAATATCAATCTCTGCTTGGGTATGCAACCTGCAGTAAGGCGATAATCCAAACAATTATCGTGGCGAGTTTGCGCTTGAGATATGAAGAATTGTTGTGGTTGTTTGCATTTTCACTATAATCATAACTACACTAACGATTGGCTACACAAGTCAGAATCTGAAAATGTCGTCCTCATTCGGTGTGCTCTGAATGGTGTCCCCGCTCGCGCACTTACGGGCAGCTCCAATCAAAGTGATGGCCGTCGATACAGTAGCTATCAACTACTACTTAGCACCCACTCAACGCGCCTGGCTGGAGACATTTGGGCGCCCAGGCCCGGTCTGTGGTGGACGGCTTCGGGCGGCGCGGTGTGTGGTGCGAGCAGGAAGGGTTAGGGTCAGGAAAGGCCGGGTCTAGGCTCCGTTGATTGGTGGGACCAAAAGGGGATTTAGACTTAGAGTTAGTATAGAGTTAGTTTAGTCAGTTAGTGAGTAGTTCAGTTCTAGTTTTGCCTCCAACTGCTCAATACACCACCAAGCTTTGCCCGGGAGTCCACTGCTCCCCCAACATTGTGTTTGTGTTGAGAAGTTGCACGGAGGCGCAGTTGAGACAAAGAATTCTTTAGTGCATCAAGAGTAGCACTCATCAACGATGTCCCAGAGAGGACAGGACCGACCGCGTCAGGGCCGCAGCGACGACTAGAAATAGCCCCTGGCGATATTTCCTCCAGTGTTGACAATATAAAAAATGTATAAATACCTCACTGATCATTGAGCTTTTGATACATTTACCACCGATTTATAGGCCAATCAGAGTAGAACTCAATGATTTTTCGAGCCGCCTGCCTGCATTTGTTACCAAACAGAGGTACTGCAGTAGTGTACTACTGGGAAGTACAGAATGCAACGTCGTTATTAGTGTGTCACAGAACGAATTATCCAATCAAAATGAAACCCCAAATACCTCACATTAATTGGCGAAATGGAAGGAGGCGGTCGCGCCAGACGGCTGCCTTGGCTTTGAGTTGAACACCACAATGAGTTTACGTCCATCGGGGTGGAGGTGTCATGAATTCATGTCTCTGCGGAGGTTATCACATTCCGCTTCTGCGATGGCGTCTTGCTTCAGGTAGGTAGGGAAAAACTGGGGGCCTAGCGCTGGGCTTGCCATGTCCGCGGAGATCTTCATCGACACGTTAATGGACACTTGAAGGTATCCAAAATGGACGCGCATTTGGTCGTGGAAAAGGGCAATTTCGTCGGGGGGAGGAGTTGCCTGAAAAAAATTGGTTGTTGATCTAGGGTAAGGCTACCAGCAATGATCGCATCCAAGATACTCGTTTCATAGGCGGTCGGTGCTCGGAACGGTGCCTTGTCAGTGAGGCATGGGTGTTTGCAATATGCATGAGCTTCGAGTTGAGAAGGGTCGGTCGGGGTGTCAGCGTGCTTAGTGGGAGGGTAGCGAGTACTATGATTACGTACGGAATCAGCGAACGATTGCGTTGGTGTCGTTTTCTGAACTGTCCGTTGGGCAGTTGGAGGTCCAGAGTCCGCGAGAGTGCGCCTGGAAGCGGTGGGTGACAGGGGTACTGGTGGATACTGTTTACGTTTGGAGGCCTTCGGGCTAAGTGTAGTCGAGGTTCGTGGACTTCTGGAGTTTGGGTCGTTTGGACTTCCGCTCCTGGAACGGATTGGGGCTGTTTTGGACTTCCTCTTCGAAAGGGGGATGGTACAAGGGCTGCTCGGGCGGCCCGCCGCCATTCCAAATGATGTCGCGCGTCGTCCGGATAGTTATTCGGATGTGCTTGACCACTCAAATTTGGGAATAGTTAGGCATGTTCAACTGAATTGGTGGCAACTGGTGAGACATCCATTGCCGCGTTCTTGCACTTCATGATTGCGTCCTTCGTGGACACCTTGGTCAAGACGTCGGCAAGTTGGTCGGCGGTGCCGACGTGACGGACTTCATGGTGCCGATTCCCATGGGTTGGCGGGCGTAGTAGTGGCGCACGTCGATGTGCTTGCTCTGTTCGCCCAAGAAGTAGGCTGCGTCTCCTTGACGCTCCAGCTTCATCTTCGTCTTGAGTTCGTCGAGAATCTTGTTGGCCATAGTGGCCGTCTTAGCCATCACAAGAAAGTCGTCAACACAGGTACACACCACCTCCAGGTTCTCCCCTGACCCTGGCATGTAGAGGCATGGATCGAATTGGCTTTGGTGGAAGCCAAGGCCAAGGAGAATGTTGCGGCAGTGATCGAACCAGGCCAGGGCCGCTTGCTTGAGGCCATACAGCGCCTTGATCCGTCGCCGTACCAGGGCGGCTGGTTGACGTAAAGCAGAACACCCTCTTCCATCAGTGCCTGGAAGAAGACGGTATCGGCGTCGCTTTGGAGGATCATGAAACCCGTGGAAACGACTACGGCGGCGCAGGTGTGAATTGTGGCTATCTTGACCACCGGTGAGTACGTGTTTGTGTGCATGTAGTCGATGCCTTCGACTTCACTGTAACCCTTGCACACTAGTCTTGTATCGAACAACGTCGCCGTTGGAGTTGGTCTTCTTGGCGTATGTCCACGAGGAGCCGATAGCCTTGCGTCAGACAGGCAGGTCGACGATCTCCATGTCCCTGCGTCGCGGTGCTGCTTAAGCTCGAGTAGTTCGGCCTTGATCCATTCGTCGCACTCGTTGGACGACGTAGTGCGGTAAAGTCGTCGAGGACGTTTAACTGAGTCGTTGGGTTGCCGAGGTTCGTCGATGAATCTGGATGGCGTCGTGATCGTGTTTCTGTCACGTAGGGTAATCCTGTTGGTGCTCGCGGCTGCGTTGAAGTCGTCCATCGTCATGGACATGCGGCCGCTTGTTGGGGCTGGTGATGGCACGAAGGTAAGCGTTGACCTTCCTGGTGTGCCCAATTCGGATTGATCGAAGTCTAACCTCGTTCGGTAGAGGTCGTCCGAGATGCGCCGTGACAGTGGCAGTATCTTGAAATGACTTCGCTTGGCTGGCGGCGCTGCGGCCGCGCTCCTTGAAGGTACCCGTGTGTATGGCGTCGACACGTATGCAGTGGCTGGGCGAGCGGACGTCCCCCCTTCAGTGAGTCCATCTTCATCGTCGTCGTCGGCATCCGCTGTGATAAGGTACTCGTCGATTTGTGCGCGTTCGCCAAGGAACTCGCTCTCGCGGAACTGGACTTGAACAATGGTAACCATCCTCTTTTGGTCCAAGTGGTACAGCTTGTATGCATTCTGGTGTTCTGCATACCCCATCATGACGCACTTGGTGGCCTTCGGTCGAGGTTGTTCCTCTTTTCTGGCTCATTGACCATGTTGTAGGCAACGCAGCCAAACACGCGAAGCTTGTCCAGGCTGGCCTTGTGGCCGATGAAGGCTTGTATCGGAGTCATAGTGGCGTTGGAGCCGTGCGGCACGCGGTTCTGGATGAACACCGCTGTATTCACCGCTTCGACCCACCAAGGTTTGGCGAGACCGGCGTGGGAGAGCATGGACATGGCCATCGCCTTAATGGAACGGTGAGCTTGTTCGGCCATCCCGTTTTGCCATTGATTGTATGCCGTAGACGTGTCGTGAACGACACCCGATTCCTCAAGTGCTTCGTTGAAGGCGTTAGAGGAGTACTCGGATCCGACGGCGGATGCGAGTACGTGTTTGCTTGGTCGAGGACGTACACCTTGTTCTTAGTGTCCTGCGTGGCGGTGGCGATGGTCGTCTCGTCGTGTTTGATGCTGCACTCCATGGCGTCGAAGGTGAGTGAGAAATTTCAGTTGGCTCGCATCATGGCCGTAACGGATAGCAACGTAGACGGCATGTTGTCGATCAGGAGCACGTCTGCATGACAAGCGTTGCCCCTTCACTGGCGCTTACGCGCATCGTACCCATCTTGGTTGCGTGCGTCTTTGCGCCGTTGACGACGACTACAGCGTGCTGGTAGGCCTGTACGTCGGCCAGGTTCGTGGCGTCTCCAGTAATGTGGGACGACGCGCCAGAGTCCATGAGGACTTGGCCTTGGAAGTCGAAGGTGTGGAAGACAACGGCGTCTTGTTGGGCATCGTCCGAGTCTTCCGTATCCATAGCCGTGAATGTCCACCCACCATCGTCTTGTGTATGATTAGCCGTTTCTTGATGGCCTTGGTGGCGACCTTGACTTTTCTTGTAGGGGGGCTTCGTATTCTTGCATCGGCTTGCCGGCTGCTTTGTTCCGGCATTCCAATTCCCACTGGCCGATATTGCCCCATCAGTTGCATCCACCCATCTTATTGGGTTGCTCCCGTGCTGTCAGCGCGCGTTCGCCATTGTTGTCGCTCCTTGGGTTGGTAAGAGCGCCGGATCGAACGGGGGCCTTGTACTCACATTCCAGGATGACACGGACAGTGGCTAGGTTGTTGCCTTGGCCTCGGGGCAGTGAGTCCACTTGGTGTGTCACAGGGGGAATCTGCCACAGTAGCATGTCGAGGAGCCGGTCCACCACCATGGCGTCGTGGACAGCGTAACCACTCACACGGAGCTTCTGCAGGACGATCTCGTATAGTTCCAGGAACTGTGGTAGGGACTCTTGCTTGGTATTCCACTTCATGTTGAAGTACTCGGATAGGGTGGCGAGGCGGTCAACCCGTGTTTTGGGTTCGTGATGCTCAGAGCGCACCTTGCTTCAACGTACGTCTTGGCATCGGCGAAATACTGCTGTTGAGTCTCGGAGCAGCAAGTAAGGAGGTTGCCCAGGGCATATCCATCTTGTTCGGGGGTGTAGGTCGACGACGGACTGGTCGGAGTGGTCGTGGGTCGTTGGCATCGACTGCGGATGCCGTAATAGCCAGCTCTGCTGCTGGTTGGATGCCGGTATCATAGACGGCTTTGAGACTCTTGCTCAACATGCGTCCTTTGAGCGTGATAGGACAAGCGTTCAAATTGCCCTCCATGAACATCTTGATCGCAGACATCATATCATGGCTCATCTCGGTTGGGCTCATAACCTGTTGAGCTAGGACGAACAGGACAGAGGCGAGCGAGAGGCTGTGAAGCCAATTGAGAAGATTCTAGAATAGATTACTGGTTGTTAAGGCTCTGATATCTGTGGTAACATGAATGGCTCACATAGCTTCCTGTGTCTACCTTCTAAACTCGATGTGGAGTTCTCTAACATGTAATTCCTAAAACTTATGTCTACCATGGATATGATGCTGATGCACTTCGAGGCGATCGCTCCAGATTATGACCAACATTCTCAACAGGCATGCGCATCGACATGATAGATTTCTACTGTAGATTGTATGCGATATGGTAGTCGTAAATTCCCGTTTATACCTGGTCGTGCACATTGCGCCCCATCTGGCCAACACCTTGACAAACCCGGCTGCAACGGACCTAGGCCACAGGCAGCTCGCCGCGGGCAACCAGAAAGCTATGTCTGCGGGCAGCCTTCGTGTAGCTACTTACATGCAGGAGCATCCCGACGACGCAGCGGAACTACGGGATCAGCTCAAGTTTTGGAACGAAGTCATGGACCACCAAGTACCCATGACCAAGGAACGAGCCGAGGCAACGTTGCCGTTTATAACGGCACTCGAATGGGGTCCTCTGTTTACCAACACGAGCCCCCAATCATGTTCTGTCCTCCGGGGCTCGATCCCTTCAATGTACACTGCTCATTTCCTACGGCGAAACCATCCTCCCATCTTCACGCCGCCCGGGCCGCCGACGAACACCGGCCTCGCCAACCAGTCAATCTGGTTCGACCGGACCCGAAGCCTGACTTCTCATTGGACCAACTGTGTCCACCCTTGAATTCACATGTATTCTCAACCCTGCATTCGTCCACCGCCACGGCATGGACACACCGGCCGAATATGACACCGCCGAAACCCTCGCCAACACCGACGTATGTTAACACGCACTACAGCATACGGCTGCGTCCGCCTGCAGCGCACCTGACCGACCCACTGTACAACCGATTCAACGGCCTCAACACCACCGACATGACGGCGCATGCTGCCATCTAGCCGAAACCCCACATGTTCCCAATCCGTCACTGCCTGTCTTCATCCACCGACACGGCATGGTCACACCGGCCGAACATCTAGGAATTTCTCGTTCAAGATAAATAATTGAAACACCGCCGAAACCGTTCGCCGACACCGACGGTTGTCAATGCGGACTACAGCATACCGCTGTATCCGACAATCTCGCACTGACCCGGTGCACACGTACGGTTTCCATACTTCATACACGGTATCACGAATATCGACCAAGGGCATGTCACGGCTAAGAAGCTCGATATCTATAACCCTCTCGTCGACCTTACGCTCCAGCCATGACAGCTTACCGCAACCACCACTCACTCAGCACGTGCCGTCCCCCAACACCGAGTAACCTACTCCCTCTCGTTGAAATTGCCGCTGTCAGCTCCCACAATAACCTCCGTCCTATACCATGTGTTGGACCGCGACGGCCTCCATGCAAACCAATGTACCACACTCGGCGCCAGTAGCCCGCTCAGGGTACCCGGCGAAACCACAATAGCAAACCCGTAGGCTTTGACAAGTCCCAATGCACACCGCACACTAACGAAGGCCCGACAGACTGAGGCTGCTGCACGAACCACCCCGGTTTGAACGTGCACAAACTCCATCCGCTAGATTAGTCTCTTTCACGGGTGCGCTCGGCCGATAGCGAACTTGTAAATACCGCGTAATTTTAATTTCAATAATATGGTAGTCGTCATGTGGGATTCATTTGTTGCCGCACTCGTAGCAGCTAGTCAGAGTGTGGCGACCTGTGTGTAAATCCAGAATAAATCTGATGGGTGGGTAAGTTGAGCTTTATCCCTTGAACTGTACATTCGTATAAAGCTCATTCGATATCCCACGGGTGGAGTTGCTCTTAGACGTCGCACTGTATAGTACATACCCTCGGATGCATCGAATGTTATTATTCTCGGTACATCTCTTGACAAGTGTGAGTCAGTCCTGCTCCTTGGCTTGAAATGCAACAACCAAAAGGACCATAGTAACTGATACGATCTTTTTCACTTTGTCTTCCACCACGTTAGAATTGACAATAGACGTTCGATTTGGATTTTACGACTCAAGTAACCTGCGATCTGTAGATATTACTGGTCGTGTTTGAAGTTATCAAAGTGATCGAATAGTAGCGCAGTACCTTTTTAACCATGAACTCAGTGAGATTTTCTTACAGTTAACACTGTAAATAGTAATGCAGACAAGGGCAGTTTTGTGTGCTGTACCCGAATTTACCGTACATCTGAAACCCCCAAAATGTTTCCGAAATAGTTACAACTCAATGGTAAAGCTGAAATATTGTCGATTTTCTTCAAATTTCCCAATTTTGCATGGTTTGTTCAATCGAGCACAAATAGAGCTGAGATATCTGATTGGCCAATATCCACTTCGCCCTTTCCAGTAGAAACTCGAATATGAATTGTAGCCAATCAGCGACAAGTTATTTTGGAATGGCCAATGGGAGAGATTGGTGCTCGATTCACTCGGCGAGATTCGATTGAACGGGGTCCGGAAATTCATACCGAATCTCCAATATGTACCACTATTGTTTCCGCGCATTTGAATAACTATGATTGGACAAAATGTTTCGCGCGGTTTCACATTTATTCAAAGTGCACGACATACACATCACAGGCCAACTGACTGCAGAACCACCACGTAGCCGCTCCAAGACAGGGAAGCGCAAGGTCATATCCCTACGCTTTAAAGTCAAAGTCATTCAAGCTTACGAGGCTGCACTTGGCCCTGCTAAGGCATTCTATGAAATAGGCAAGGCCTTCGGCGTTCAGAGAGGCCAAGTGTCGTGTTGGGTCAAAGAGAAGACCCTCATTGCCTCGCAGGCAACTGTGAACCCTTTGGCGTGCACGGTAAACCCCGGCCGTGCGATCACAAAACCCGATGTCGAGGCTGTTGTACTCGACTACTTCCAAACCCTTCAAGACGACGAATAACACATGTAATTCAACATCAAAGTAGATCATTGATGCATTATCTAAGATCTATTGTACTCCTCAATGTGGTCCTTCAGTACAGCTCTTACAAGTCCAATGAACCTATTCGATCGATTGCGTTTCGAAGCAGTGTTATCGACTCTGTAGTCTTCTCTTCTACAACAATTGCAAATTTGTGTTCGCATACTTGGCTTTCGTGTTCACCAAACGACGGGGAAGAAAGCCGACATGGCAGAGTTGCTCCGCACCAATAATCTTGTAAACCTTGAGGGTTTCTTCTAGCCCATCAGTATTCAATCGCATGACCTCGCATCGAAACACAACCACATCGTTGACGGCCAGACTGTCACCGCAAACCTCGTGTGCAGGGCAGCTTCGAGTCCCTTCGCCGCTCGAGCAGCCAACAATGTCGACAACCTTCAATTCCATCCCGAAGCAAATTGAAATTTGATTTTAACATGGTTTTACTGGTTAAATAATATCCAATCATGGCTGGTAGTTACAAGTCAATGGTAAAGCTCAAGTTTGCTTAATCAGATCTGACTTTTTTTATCTTGAACAAAGTATTGGAAATTTTCATGGTTACAACTTAATGGTCAAAATTTGGGGTTACAGATGTACGGTAAATTCGGTAGTTTAATTCGAGTCGGACGACCATATTGTGGATTTTTATTTTTCATGTGTCTATCTGTTTATGGAATTCGCACGGCAGACCACCTTGCGAATTCAAAATTGTCCAATTTGTCCAATCGTGAGATCACGAAAATCGCTGCGTAGATTCATCACACCCTGTTGCTATATATTCTACACTTGTGATGGCGGTTGATGCAAGGAGCATTGAGATAACTATGTAGGCTGTGTATGATCATATAGATTGGATGCGACGTGCTCGTTCTTCATCCTGGCATGTGATGGGGTGTGGGACGAGCTCGAAGATCTTGGCCTTGTCAGAGTCGGACCGAGCGCAGGCGGCCGAAGTCCTCGTCGGCGCCGCCCTTGAAGAAGGAAGCTGTGGCATCATTTTGGCCATCGTGGTCGTATCAGCGATGTGGTATTCAGGACTCGGTCAATTTGAACAGGTCTAGACTTCAGTAACATCACCACTTGTCTACTAACCCAATGAATGTGGTCATCCCTCATTCCACCATCCAGTCCGTGTCGGTGCCGTACATCTCCCTGCTGGTGTGATCACGTGGTTGCGCGGGCAGGTGGAGCAAGATGTCTTGGTGGCACCCATCGCAAGTGCTAAAGCCGCCACTTCAGCACTTGCGATGGGTGCTACCATGGCGTCTTCGCCACCGCGTTGGCCCACGGCATTGCGACCGAACTGAGCGCACAACATAATGTTAGCTGTAAGGGGAGAACCACATTGGATATAGTCGGAGTGAACTCATCAGTACAGAATTCTCAGGAGCACACAAAAATCTACAAGATTCAAGTGTCCAAAGAGTAACTTCTGCTTCCTGTCTTATAGCCAATCGTGTGCAAGAAACAAGGTGTGATGGACTCTTATTGGATATTAAAAAGTATTAAAAAGTAGCAAGGTGGCTCACCTTGCGAATTCCATGAACAAGTCAACTAATTCGACGAGAATGCCCAGATAATGCTCTTTCACCTCCACTAATTTTCAGGCCAATCGGAGGTGAGGAAGTTCAGTTTTTCATCATCCTTGGCCAGAGGTAGTACTTTAATGTACATCAACTTATACTATTGTTCCACTTCCGGTGCCCTGGTACAGACAGGGCTGTACTATTAATAGTAACTATCAGTTTCTCCGCACACCAACACATCATTTTGAAGGCGTTTGTACAGAAGATACAATGTATTTCTGTCGATTAACGCACATGACAACGTCATACTTCAACATACATGCATATGTCACCACTCCAACTTAGCAAGCAGCCTTGGGCAAGAACGGTTCGATAAAGTCACGGAGTTCCGAGATACGGGCGTACACTCCGGGGAAGCCAGGGCGGACACAGCGGATGCCCCAGCTGGTCACACCGACCAAGTACTCTTCCCCGTTGCGCGTGACCGTCAACGGTCCACCCGAGTCGCCTTTGCACGTGTCCTTGAACCCCTCGCCGGCGCAGATCATGGAAGACGTGACGTTGTAGTTTTTGTACTTGTTGAGCGCGGCGTGGCACTTGGAGTTTTCCCAGATGACCACGTCGGTTTCCAAGAGCACGGGGGATGCAGGCCCGCCGGAATAGATACTACCAAACCCACGCACCCAAGACACAGCGCCCGGGGCAGTGAACTGGTCTTCGTCCCAGTTGAGCTTCACGGGGAGGAACTTGGACTCGGTTTCCAATTCGAACACGGCAACATCGTAGTCGTGACGAGTGGCCTTGTTGTATTTGGGGTGCAAGGTGCGCTTGACGATCTTGATGCGCTCGCCGTCCTTGGCGCCGTTCAAGTAGTGCGACCCGATGGACGCGTAGGTGGACCAGGGATACGTCGCGCAATGAGCCGCCGTGACCAGGATCTTGGGGGCCACCAACGATGCACCGCATAACGAAGCAGCGGTTTCGTTGGGGCGAAGTCCCGTCACGTACGTGTACTTGCCGATGGGGGCTTCGGTACCGTTGAAGATTTCAATATCGGCGGCCGCGAAGGCGGCAACAGCAGCAAGGGCGAGGAACTTGACCATGGCAAAGTGGATTGGAAAATGAGGTCAAGTTGGAAACGCAGAACCATAATTCACTTTGTTCACGAGTTTTTCCATGTGGTCCCCATCTCTATACTGAGTCACTAGTGACATGAAGTGATAGATTTGACGCTGGATAATAATGGTGCGCCATTATTATCCAGCGTCAAATCTATCACTTCGGACGTGTCGAAGGATATGCGATATCTACAGAATAACTCCCTCATTAAGAGAGTACCACTGTCGTTTTCACCCGAAATGCTAATTTTGACATACGAAGCACACGAATTACTGTCATTTGGGTTACTTTACCGTCTAGTGCCGCAGCAATCTCCCTAGACGACATTCCCTTTCGTGTCGCAAGCCTGAAAACCCGTCGGATCTCTCGTCGTGTCAGTTTGACGCGTCTTCCAGCTCGCTTGGTCGTCTCGTCCTCGGCTGTTGCAGATGGGCAACGTAGGTACGTACGAGTTTGTCGCTACGTCCCAGAGCATTGGCGATCCAACGTAACGACTTCTTGAGGGTCAAATACGCCTTTATTTGGCCCTTTTCGTCTTCGGTGATGCTTTTGCCGCGTGGCATGCTGAAATGGTGGTTTGGGTGTCGAGAAGTCATGTATGTGACATGCAAATGCTTGTAAGCATTTGGTTTACTTTAAAAAGTGCTGATTGGTTAAATAGTTCTTTACTTTTAGTCGAATCAAAAAGTGCGTCTATAATTTTGTTTCACCCCAAATTTTGAAAATTGGATTTTTCTGTGGACTTACTTATTATACTGGTACATGACTGAAGTCATTCTATGGGATGCCTGATCAATCACAAGGACATTCAATCAGTGCTTCCGGAAGCACTGTTTGAATGTCCTTGTGATTGATCGTTGCTGACTAAACCATTGTTTTCATTGTAAACTCGAGAATTTTGGGGTGCGTCTATAATTTTGTTTCGGTCTGTATTTGACTGTGAATTCAACCATCCGGATACAGGATACCCTTTTTAGCCCGTAATAGTAGCCCTGTAATCTGCGACTTCGTCCTACCACCGATGAGTACATTAGACACTAAGTCTCCGGGGTTAACCGCATCACCAGTGGTTAGCGATAGCAAACCACTGATATGCACTTACAGTTAACCCCTACAAAGAGGTGAGTTTACCAAGTCCCATATAAACACGCATATTGCAGGTGTTTTCTGAAAAATTGTGCAGTACTACTGTTTTAATGAGGGAATTGAACATACATCTACATGTTAACAAGGTGCAGTACAGTTTTGCTTGAAGCGCACTAATGTTAGCACTGTACCCAACTCCTGTATTATCGTACTTCCAATGATTTATAAATTGATTGACAGTCTGTAGACTACGTATACACTATATAATTGGGCTGAATACCTAGATCTCGTCGACCCTTCATGGTTGCCTATTTCATGAGCGGACGGAAATTTCCTTTTCGGTATGAGCTTAGGCTCAAATCCAGCCTGCTTTA